CCTGAACAAGCTAATCAAGGTCTGAATGGTTTCTAGGAAGCTACAGGCAGGTGAGTTTTAATTAGGGTTGGAGCTGAACTCTGCAGGGCTGCGGCTCTCCAGGACCGGAGTTCGGCACCGCTGCTATATACTATAATATCAATAATTTAATTACATTTTAGTCTATCAAGATCTCTAATTCTATTACAATTATTTAATCTTCACAAAGCATTTAAATCATTTTAAAACATTACCAAATTATAAAACAAATATAAATTCAATGGAAAACAAAGTACAGAAAAGTAAAGAAAAAGTTTTCAGAAAAAAAAACTGTAATGTTTAAAGATAGGCTGGAAATAAAGATGGAGGAAGATAGGACAGTTACTCACTTTGCAGGCTGGGCAGGTTTGCGTCCTCTGGTTTGGTCTTCAGCAGATGAGGCAGACGTGTGTACCTGTAGCCAAAGCCACAACCCTGTTGACAGGAGGAATACAATATAAGACCACATACAGACTGCAAAGCCATGTGAGTGACAACCACATTTAAATTCATGCATTTTTAACCATAACAGCATGAACTAGTTGCTCAGTTTGATCAGAAATAAATTAGTAAACTCATTTGTTTTCTCGCGCTTTTGACAATGTTTTTTTTTAGCTGTGTATGATATTTGTTGTTACTATTATTATTTATATTTTACTATTATTATTTTTCATTTGTTTTTATATTATTTTTTCTCTTATCTTTCTCTATACAGCACTTTGGTCCCAGTCGTGGGGTTGAAAGTGCTTTATAAATAAAGTTTGAGATGAGTTGAGAAATAAATTAGTAGTAGAACGCAATTGTCACTCACATTAAATAACCCAAGATTAAAAATGAGGGGTTAGCAATAAAAAGTGTGAACATAGGAAGTTTAAACTAGGAAGAAAAGTGGTAAACGTATTTAGCTGCATTTTGTGTGTGTGTGGCCTAAAAGAACTGTGGAAACAAATCAGTCTTTTTTGACCAATGATCGGTGAAATACTAACGTTAGTCAGCTCATGGAGAAGATAAAAAGAAAGGAGTGAGTGGAAAGTGTGGGGAGGGGATTGTGTAAGACAGTATAAGAAATGCAGCTTACCCTCCAAAGACGAACCAGGATCCAGTTGGTTTGAGCCCAAGGTCTCTGTTCATATGGAGCCAGTAAGTTCCTCATCATAGCCATCCGCCTGGGAGATATTACATGATAAATAATTATACAAATAAAAGAAAAACAAAAACAGAAACCATGCACTAAGACAAATAAAATATCGAACCAAAGAAATAAGACATTATATATGAAAATTACGTTGTCTGATGCACATTGCAGACAAAAACAGTAGGATATTTATAAAAAATGACAAGCTCCATTCTAATTGGCTGATTTTATCAAATTTTCACAAACCAGGTTGCACAGGTGTTTCATAATTGGGCATAATTTATGAGTTACCAAACTGCTATAATGAATGTTTCAAAACAAACAAACAACAAAAAACTAAACTAAGCAAACAAAACCATCAAAAACACAAAACCATGAACAGCAAACCAAACCAAAACTTAGCAAAACTAAACCATCAAAAACATAAAACAAAAGCCATCAAAAATAAAACAAAAGTAAATCATAAAAACAATACAACAAAACCATCAAAAACAAAACTATGCAAAACTTAAAGGTGGGGTAAGTGATTTCTGGTAGCCAATGTTGATATTTCAAATCACCAAACCAAACACACCCCTACCCCAATAGGGTCTCGCCCCTATTTTGATAGCTCCAGCGATTTTGATAGCTCCCAGGCAACGATTAGTTCTCTGAAACAAAGTGAAACCAATGTTATACCTTGTATACAGCGGACGCAAGCGGCGCGACAAAGTACTACAGAACTCATTATAATCAGTGATGCTGTCTACACTGGATGCGGTGCGGCGCAACATGACAAATCTCCGACAGAAAACTGCTGCTGCATTCTATTAATGATGTATTGACACAAATTTCAAATGATTTTCAATGGTCGCTTTGTCGCGTCCAGCGTAGACAGACTTTAGCTGTTGCGGCACGGCATCCGGTGTAGACACGGTGTTACTCATCTATCGAGAAGAAACAAAGCAACCCCGGCATCCGATCGCAGGCCTTCCGCTCCTAGAGTTCTCTCCAGTGCAGGAAAGCTGATCCGATATTTACACGGGTCCTACTTCTTGCCTTAAGCCTTCTTTTGTTCTTTTTTTATCCACCATCTCTATCTTTCTGTCGCTCGGCTCGGCTAAAATGTCCAACCTGTGCAATGAGCGCGGGTAAACTGAGGACTTGAATGAAGGGCTATCTGGCGAAACGCAAGTTTATTTGATAACAAATAAATCTCAATGGATTATGTATAGGTGGATTATGGTTTCTGCGTTAATGACAACTCGTTTATTTTCCTACTTTATATCTTTAAGACTTAAATCCTGGTATGCACATCACTGCCTGTTACTGTATTTGGGTGCTTAGTTGCAAAACTTAATTGTAAACTTTTCAGATCATGATTATGATGTTTTAACTGACTGAAGTTATGATTACTGACTTTATATATTTGAATGTGTATTTTCATCCTGGGCCGGGACGATAGACTTGATATCACTACGTCATTGCGAATGACGTCATTACGTTAGGGCGTAACAGAACCGATGAACAGTTTTTTTGAACTGGTTCATTGAAACTAACTGTCTGAAAGAACCGGAAAAGAACCGGACTTCCCATCACTACTCCGCATCATGAGTAGACACGCCCCTTACAGCTGATTGGCTACAAGTTTGTTTTGGTACTCGGCCCGACTCAGTTTTCTAAAGTGTTTTTGAAAAAATGCATACCCCACCTTTAACCATCAATAACAAAACAAAATAATTCATACAATAATAAATACAAATCTTAACTATCAAAAACATAACATAAATCAACCGGTTCGCTTACAATGTATTTGCAAAGCACTGCAAATGTGCATAAAGTTTGTTTCTGGTCTAAGGTGAGATGAAAACAAGTAATGCAGTAACAAAAAGCATTAATTAATCACTGCATTTTGATGCAAACTCAGGCTTAAGCACTTACTGATCTTCTGGGATCTTCTCGACGGCACGCAGGGATTGTGGGTAACACACGTAACTGGCTAAAGCCTGCATCAGTGAGTCTTTGATATCTGTGGATGAAAATAAAGTAGAAAAGAAAACATTGTACAATGCTTTTAATGATTCAATTAATTCTTGATAAATAAAATCCCCACTCCGCATGTCCTGGTTTACTCTGAAATATGTTAAGCAAATAAAGCAGGCTGCAAATGGCAATTCACATTGTCTTTAAAAAGGTCTTCTTTTTTGCATTTGCATGCATGCATGATTGTTGTATTTATTAGTGCTCATTTACAATTTGTTTTCTATGAAACAAGAAGCTTCAATGATATTCTAACACCTCAGTCTCAGTCTTTGTTAAGAAAGAAGTCCTTGATCAAAACAAAATAGTGAAGAAAAACACTAGAATTGCCAACAAAAGAAGAGCTATTCAGATATAAAAAGCTAGTTGAAATGTAAAACTAATCCATATTAAAAACAGGCTGTGCAACAACCGCTGTTAAAATTGATGTATTCGGTAACAGAGCCTACTGAAAACAAGATAAATATGCAAAAAAAATCTAAATACATCAGTGCGAACATAATGAAAAGGCTGCTTATGAAATGAAATTTAAACAAATGGGTCGTGTCTAATAACATCTGTTCATCTGCAGAGCACATCGCTCATGATTCAGGAGTCGAGAGTATTTCATAGCCCTAACCTTAAACAGGATTAAGAAAATGCTGCGGCTACAACTCATCACGTAAATTACTTTGTGTTGCCTGAGAGCAGAGAGAATAAGCTTTTAATTATACCTTTACGTGAGAAATGAAGTGAAGTGATTAACGGTACAAGCCAACGGCTATATTAGGTTAAAGAATTCCCATTAAAACGGCCAACGAATTGATTATTGTACGGATTTTTGGGCTGCTTGCTTTTATCTTGCCTTTTCCTGCAGTTAATGGGAACAGAATATTGACTGGATGGATGGATGGATGGATGGATGGATGGATGGATGGATGGATGGATGGATGGATGGATGGATGGATGGATGGATGGACTGACAGATGGATGGATGGATGGAAAAAATAAACAGACTGTCAACTGTCAGATGGATGAATGGATGGATGGACAAACAGATGGAAAAATAGACTGTTGAAAGGACAGACGGAAGGATGGACAAACTAATAGACCGCCGGACAGACAGATGGACAGGATTTATAGGATGAATTTATAGGTTTATATTTACGAATTTGTCAAAGCAAATGAAGAGTTATAGTGGTCTTACCGGTGCCAACGATGCGCAGATCAGCGAAGTGTTTGGCAAGAATGGCTGCGAGCTGAGTGAGTGTTTCCTCATAACCTGAGAGGGACAAACATCACACAACAGCATGAGTCTGACACAAACTACTGCTCTAGAAAGATTAAGGTTCACAAACACTAGAAGCTGCTGTGACCAGTAATAATTGAGAGAGACCTGGAAGTTCTTCCATGCAGTTGGAGGGGCTGAAGTAGTTTTTGAGGGCACTGTAGCTGTTCATGGCCACGTTGAGGTAGAATTCGGGCATGAATGCGAACAGGGAGCCTGTGCTGTCCGAATGCTCGATGGTACGGAGACACACCCTGAGGAGCCAGTACACGTCCAGCATCTTCTCCTGCATTCATACACATTATGAAAATAAAGCAGGATATACCCATGCTTCTTCCATCTGAACTTTTGCTGAGATCCAGAAATTGCAAACAACGCCTTGAAATGCACTTCGTATTTTAGTTTTGCACAACTAAAGCTCCATCTCTCTGAACCTTAGGAAAAAACCTTTTGCTTCTGTATCTTTAGGGACTTTTATTTCCAAATTACCTCCGTTATGACCGACTAATCTCTTTGCCTGTAAAGCATGTCTATTATAAGTTGCTGAATACTAAATAGTCATTAACAATTTCTGAATAATAATTAATTATATTTCAGTATTTGTTTTTCCAGAAAAACAAATAAATATGACCCCTTTAAGCTGATTATTTATTATTTGTCATATTTCTGCAATATTTAAAAATTTGTACAAATAAATAAATACCTAAAACTGATTAACTGATATTGTTTTAATTATTGTTTTACATTTCGTTATATTTCTTATATTTCTAAATAAATATCACCTCTTTAAAAAATGATAATGATAAATTATCAAAATGATAATGACTTTTATCATTATTTTATATTTCTGGAAAAAAGCTATTTGTTCAGTCTAGTCAACGACTCAATCAATAAACAAATAAATATGTATAAATAAACACTATTATTTTATATTTATACAAATTCTGTAGCTTACTACATAAATAAATAAACATACATACATAATTATTGTTTTATATGTCTGCCATTTTTGCAGCTTTGTAAATAAAATAAATATCATATGATCCTTTTAAAATAGATTCATTTTATTGATTTATATTAATGCAATTTTGCAGCTTAATAAAAGAGCAAATGGTTACCATGCAACCCCCTTTAAGTTGATTTTAAAGATGCAGAAAATTCTGTGATGAATGCATTGACATTTACAGCAAGTTTACATACTACTTCCTGTTCCTAAATGCCCTTTTGAAAAGCCATTTAAAGGCTGAATTTAAAGGGATAGTTCACCCAAAAATTAAAATGACCCCCTGATTTACTCACCCTCAAGCCATCCTAAGTGTATATGACTTTCTTCTTTCAGAGGAATATAATCAGAGTTGTATTAAAATATGTCCTGGCTCTTCCAAGCTTTATAATGGCAGTGAATGGGTGTTGAGATTTTGAAGAGCAAAAAAAGTGTGCCTATCCATCATAAAAAGTGCTCCACATGGCTCTGGGGGGTGAATAAAGGCCTCCTGAAGCGAGGCGACGCGTTGCATTTGTATAAGTAAAATATCCATATTTAAAACTTTATAAACTGTATCTCTTTATAAATCTTGAGCTTCCGCTGACGAGAGAGCAGCGTTCAAGCAGATGACGTAGGACGCAGGCGTAGCATAAGATCTGGTGAGAATATGCTAGTTTCACAAGAACCATATTTTGTTTACAGCAAAGAAAACCAGTCTCCTCTTGGCTTATATCGAAATCCTCTGACATTTTTCTATACAAATCCTCATTTTGCATTTCTGATTCATGACCGGTGTTTTGTTTTGCTCTCTCCTTTGCACTTCTGCGTTCGTCACTTCTCACCGGAGCTTACGCTGCGCCTACGTCATCCGCCGGAATGAACGCACGTACGACAGTTAGCGGAAGCTAGAGATTACGGTTAATAAAGTTACACAAATGCATCAATTCGCTTCAGAAGGCCTTTGTTAACCCCTAGGAGCCGTGTGGAGCACTTTTTGTGATGTATTGGCGCAGTTTATTGGACTTCTACAGGACTATTGAAAATCACCTATTCACAGCCATTACAAAGATTGGAATAGCCAGGACATTTTTTTATATAACTCCGATTGTATCTGAAAGAACAAAGTCATATAGGATGGCTTGAAGGTGAGTTAATCATGGAGTAAATGCCATTTTTGGGTGAACTATCCCTTTAAATGTCTGGAGTTTAATGGGCACATCGCAAATGCAAAGCACACTGGGCTCTTCAAAGTAGAATTAGATCACTTGCCCTAGATAGAAAAATTACACTGCTTAAAATTAGTGAGACAGTTGGTTCACCCAATGTTTCTGGCCAGTGCCGTCAGCAGTACCTTTGAGTAGATGGTGGCGTTGATCCAGGCCAACCTACGACTCAGGTGGTTCAGCTTTTCAGCAAACACTTTTTGGCTCTTCTGCAACTCTTCTAAAATATCTAGCCTCTGACGAAAACAAATAAATCATATAAATACTAACTAAATAGAGAGCCTAATTTATACAGAAAAGTGGCATGTTTGTGCTTAAAAGAATAAGAATGACTTATGATAATAATGAATTTAAATAGAACTTAACACTTTGATATGTTGGTCTTACTCTGCTCGGGCATCGGGCGATCTTCTCTTCCGTGTCCTTTAGGGCGACAGCGTACTCGTGAACATCATCCGATACAACCACCATCTGCAGAAAACATGCAAACAGAAATACAAAGACAGCATCAGACTCTGCTTCACTGTGAGCATGTACAGAAAATTGCTCCTGTTCTCATATGGCAACATAATCGCTAGCCATCCTGCTGGAGTTCAAACTAGCCACCAATTTTGGCCTTGTCATATGAGCAGAGACAAGGTTTCAGTGGGCAATACTGAAGAGAGCACAAGCTCTCCTGATAGAGCCGAACAGGTCACTTTACCACCAGAAACAGACAAAATGATGTTATGCAATCAAGTATATGCAACCATATATGCAAATACTTTGCCCCATTTCAGTCTTAATCATTATTGTGGCTGTAATAAACTCCAATACTCAAGGGGGCGATAGAGCTTCCTTCACATGTTGACTTCAGATGTTAATTTGCCTCATTTTTCAACAAGATTTTCTTCAAACCCTATGTAGCTGACAACAGTTGACCTAAAACAGAAAACTGACATCAGAAGTAGTTGTTGTCTGTCGATGCTCATTAGCGCCCCTTGTGGCAATCGCAAGAATGCAAATAGATGTATTGTATTGTTTTTTTTTAATTGAGCTTGTGTTGCTAGAAGCATTTGCATTTATATTTCATAGGAGTTTTAGGAGTTTGTATACATTATTGTAGTTTTTATTAATATTTTGAATTAGTTTTTTAAATATATTTTAAGTATTTATTTTTAATTTAGTTTAATTTAGTAATATTATGTGCTTTAGTCATTTTTCTTATTTTTTTTAACAGTTCTCTTCCCCTTTGATTTATTTGTAAATAGTGCTGTCAAAATTAATGCATGCGGTTTTCAGTTTTTCAACACGTTAAAAATATTTTACGCAATTAACGCAGGGGCGGAGCTAGTGTTGGCCACCCCACTCACAACTGCTGCTTCTATCTCTTTTTTCTCAACAAGAATTGCATTTATTTAGACACAGAACGTCTTTACGATCACATCAAATGGGAGACTTTTTAGACGCGCACTCCAACTTCGCCTCAGCATCCTGCGCTAGTCAAACAAACACGGAATAGCTACAGGTAACGAGGAGCTTCAGTAGAACAACAGTGAATTGCAGTCAGATGAGATGTTGTCAGGCCATATGTCAGTAAAAACAAATGTTCTTTATACTGTGCTCGTAGCACGTGCTTTTCAATTGCATGCACAAACGCAGCGGCATGCTGTATATTATTTCATTAAAGTGCTAAATCTATATCTATTTATATCATCATTTAAGTCAAGAAGTTACCAAAAAAGGCAATTAACGCTACCTTAAAACTGTGCATGTATGCAAGTATGTTATGAGTTACATTTAAGAACATGTCTCTGAAATACAGTGTTTTTCAGAAACTATCCTGGAGCAGCCCAGCACTGTCTCCCTCATCTAACACACCCGATTCAGCTCGTCAGCTCATTAACAAACTTTAAGACCTGAAGTGGGTCAGAAAAGGTAAAGAGTAGTGGGAAAATATAATGTGTGTCAGATCCGCATCATGTTCAGCAGTGGCAGCTCTTAAAGCAGCCAAAATAACCTGATAACCAGCTGCTGTGATGTCTGTTCAAAGAACAAAAGAAAATAAAAAGAGAAAATCAATAACTTTTGTAGCATTAAGGATTCATCTATATTTAATTTAGAATTTAATGTTTGATAACTTTATTCAATTTCTGTATATTTCCTACTTGCTGATGGGCACAGGTAGCTAAATATTTTATATTTATTTTGATGGGTTTATAGGAAGATTGTTTTAAGTTCACTTAAATGAGAAGTTGTTGTTTTTAAAGTCTAATAAATGTTCAAATTGATAGCTCTCATTTATACTGTAATACTGAATGGCTATAATCAATGGTTAAATATTAGGGAAAAAAAATCTTAGAGATATCAGTAGTATTGGTATCCGTGATACTCGCCTTCAGTCATAAAACAAATGCCATTAAACAAATATTGAAAATATACTGTCTTTATGTTGTTTCTACATTAATTTGAAGATTAAATGCGAAATTATTGCAATTTAAAAGTATATTTGAAAACTTTAGAGTTAGGTGGGATTAATTTCAGTTTTTTTATTTAATCGATTGACCGCACTACTTTTAAGTTTTAGTTTTAGCAATTTAAATTTAACGATTGAAGTGAGACCCTTGAGCAAGTCACCGAACCCCCAACTGCTCCGGGTGTGTGTTCACAGTGTGTGTGTTTTTTCACTGCTCACTGCTGTGTGCGTGCACTTGGATGGGTTAAATGCAGAGCACAAATTATGAGTATGGGACACCATACTTGGCCACACGTCACGCAACTCACTTACTCAATTACTAGATTTTTAATAGTTCTAGTTTCACTGGTTCATTTAGTCTCACAGTGCCAGATTTGTGACAATCAGCATGAAGTCTGGTCCATTTTGTAGCTTGTTCTAGTCAAGAACTGCCCATTTTGACAATAAAATGACGTATGACTGATACACAAATCAAATAATAACAGTTAAAAGTATTAATCTTACGTTATTGTGCTTAAATATCCCATTTACTGGCTAATATCAGTCTGAATTCTTAAATGAATTCTTGACTAAAGATGTACACAAACTTTATCAAATCCAGCATCTAGATCTTCTTTCGTAAACCGGATTTTGTTGCTCAGAAAACTGACAAAAGTCAGTTCGTGCTAAACAATAGCGCTCCTTGTGGCAATGAGCAACACACATTTGTGTTGTGGTGAATTGAGCTTAAAGATTTTAAGTTCACAGACTTGCGTAGAGTATGTTTCGGGCTTTGGATGAAAGCTGCCAGCTTTGAGAAAAAAAAAATTGCAGTATGCAGCTCATTTCCATTTGAGAAACCGCTTTAGGCAGTTCCCAAAATACGAGGCTCAGATTATATATTGAGCTTATGGCCATGCAGTTCTCTCAAACTCTGAGGAAATAAAAAATGCATTACTTGATGACATGATGAGGTGTTGTGGTGACACTTCATGCTGTGGCTGAATTATTCGGCATATCAGTAATAAAGACAAGACTCCTGATGCCACTGTGCCAAGCCAATTAACAAAGCCATTATCAAGTCTATGTAAGTCAAATTAGTTTTGCTTGACAGGCTACCGCATAAATCTCATTAGGATCCAACAGTGTAGGAGAGAAATCACAGCATGAACTGAGCCACTTTCAAATCCCTTCCAAAGCCACAGTACGTCACCAAAGGATCACTTCACTATCAACAACTACTTCCTCTTACCATGCCATCCCTGTCAATTTTAATTAAATTTGACTTGGATGGCACTTTTCACAAATGGAAATTGTTCTAAAGCAGAAACAAAGAAAAGCGTCTTCACAAACCCCCTTGGTGCAGTGATTCACATCAGCAGTGGCATTGAAAAACTCCCTGGAGGAAGACACCTTGGGATTAATTACTTCAGGAAACTGAAGTGCAAACCAAGGCAGAATTTTCTTCTTGCTGGTGCAGCCTAGCGTTTAAAGATTTTGGCAGGTGACCAAAAGGTTGCAGGTTCAAATCCCACAAGGGGTGAGAATGATACTCAACCCTTGATAATGACCATGTAAATCACTTTGGAAAAACATTCGCTAAATGACTAATTAACAGGGTCCAGAATGAACACTCGGACAAGGACCACATGACAATAAATCTTGGCTTTGACGAAGAAATAAAATGTTGTTACTCACCACTTGACTGGTAACATTTTTAGGAACTGAAACATTATACATTATTAAATCATAAAAGTAACCGTCAGACCCTCAATGCACGTGGTGTGTATGATTAAAATCATATATGTGTGAATAAAAGCATATTAAAAATGCAACCATCTGTTAAAGAAAACAATGTGTTACAATTAACTTGTGGAAATTAGGTAAAAAATTTACCTCCAGAACATCCAAATTCTCCAGAACTGCATACGGCAATATATAGGTATAATTTACGTTTCATTAATTAGAAATGTATATTTTTTTATTTTTATGCTTTGTTTAGATTTTTATACTTTCCCCCCCTATTTTTTCCTGTATTATTTGTTTTGTTTTTAAGCTTTGTTCTGTTTTTTTGTTTGTTTTGTTTTTTATTTTATTTTTTATTTTTATGATTTGTTATTTTTTATGACTTTATTTTATTTTTTATTTATGACTATTATGTTTTCTTAGTTTTTTATGCTTCGTTCTATTTCATTTAGTTTTTTTATGCCTTGATTTTTTTTTCTTTGTTCCGTTTTGTTTTGCTTGTTATGCTTTGTTCTGTTTTAGTTTTTATGCCTCAAGTTTTTATGTTCTGTTCCTTTTTTATTATTTTATTTTATTTTTGTGTGTGTGTGTGTGTTTTGATTTTTTTTTAGCAACTGATTATTTTGATATGCTTAACTAAAATACTCATTACAGCATAATAATCTTTTAGAAGTCTGTTTATAAAGATTTATTATGGATGATTATTTGAGTCTGGCATTAAGACACCGAAGCAAAAATATGAGGAACAATTAAAAATATATATATATTGCAAAAAAAAAAAAGCTAAATGATCCTGCTGTCATATGGACAATATTTAGAAAAGCAAAGAAATATGGCCAGTAGAAAACATTTATGACTGATAAATTCACCCACCATCCCCAGGTCTTAGACTGTTACATTGAGCTTGAGCTGGAATGCTACTGTTTTTCTTTTTCAATGACACTGTTATCCTTTTCTCTAATAGATTATTCTCATCATGCTGGATGTTGTTATACCGTTAATATAGAGCCAAGGCGATGCACCGTTTCCATAGTTACGAAACACATTCTTTTGATGAATGACAGCTTGTTTTGATAAATTATTCACAGCTCACAATCTGAAAGTCAGTTCTCAGCCATTTCAATAATGCATTTGATTGACTCATCACAATCATTTTCTAAAACAAAAGTGCCAGTAGGATTAATTAAAACTTTGTAAAGCAAAAGACTCCAGATGACGATGTTTAAGAAAAAGTTCACCTAAAAATGAAAAACTGTGTCATCATTTCTAGAACTCTCAACGGAGAGATTGAGACAATACAATAAAAAGAGCTGTCAAGCTCCAAAAAATATTTTAAAAGCACCATAAGAGCAGTCTATATGACTCATGACACCATATTCCATGTCTTCTCAAGCTATACTACTGGTTTATGTGAAAAAAATTACTACTGGTTTGAAAATACTTTGTCATTTTTCCATAGGAAATCCTTCCCTCTGCAATAACACTCAAATACCATTGTGTATAATACATGGCTACTTCTGAATGGCCATCAATGGAGAAAGATGTTCTTCTGGACCAGTCAAAGCTTGATCAGAACAAGAGGAAATGATGACAGGACTTTCATTTTTGGGTGAACTAAAAAAAAAGACTAGATATGTATAGGAATTTCGCATAGGGAGGCAGAGAAAAAGCGAGAATCTCTTTACTACAGAGAGCAATCACTCTCCCTGATTGAAATCAAGCGTAAGGACACACACGGGAAGACAAAGTTTGATGTACAGAACTCTGCAGAGCAAAGCACTTTACGAAGAGCATGAATTATATAGAGTTCACGACCGTTGAGTGTGGCACAGTTTTTCGGTTGGTCTCTTTTCTCCTCGCTGTTGAGAGAGTGAACATTAAAACAGCTGCTGGCAGGACAGAGTCCATGTTTTACCCAGCAGTGACTCACTGTTGAAAGCAACGACGCGTCAACAAAAAGCGTTTATCAGTGCGCTTGGAGCTGGCACACAAGATCCTCTCTAAATCAAAGAGGAGTTTTTCAGCTAAATCCATGCAAGTGAACTTGAAGGACCTCAAGAGCAAAATGAAGAATGACAACCAAAGTTTTTTGTTGTTGTTGTTGCTCACAGAGAAATAGCCAGGATATATTTAACTTTCAAATAAAAAGAAAAAAAAAGACTGCGTACGCGCACTGGCTAATCTAGCCTGAAAAATAAGCTTTTTATAACGTTATCTGAGCAAAAGTAACAACATTTATGCCACAGTTGTTGTCAGATGTCTTTGGTGATTTCAAATATGAAATTTAATCGTAAGCTTAGTGAACAGTTTTTAGAGAATTTGATGTTTCCCCATTCTAAGAGATAGGAGTTGCACTTGCATGCCCGAGAGACGTTTCAAAGATGGCCGCCGAGTGACATTACTTGTCTTAAAAGGACTTTGGCTGAATACAGCGCGCTGATTCGCTAAAATGGACTTATCGGCTTCTGTTCAAAAACAACAAGGGTGCTTGTCGGCTTCTGCAGTAAAACATGAACTCGCGATGCCTTGAAAGTGGACAAAACCGGCTTTTTTGACAAAATGTGTTTAGGGTTCAGATTGCGCTATATGTGGAGAATAATGCAAATTTTTTTTAAGTGGCGTTTATCGATTTTTGCAAATAAACTTCATATACAGGTGCATCTCAATAAATTAGAATGTCGTGGAAAAGCTAAAACATTTAAAAGGGGTCATATGATGCGATTTAAATTTTTCCTTTCTCTTTGAAGTGTTACAAGCTGTGTCCTGTGGCCACAGATCTGCTGAAGTCTTTCAGAGAAAGGGCCTCCACACTTCCTACTCATTTCTGACAGCTGTAACCCTCCAAAATTTTAGTTGTAATCTTCTTTCCTGCTACATTGGTTACTGTTCTCTAATTTTGATCACCATGTTTAGCACAAAATAAAGTGTTTTGTTGAAATGCCTTGGTTATCCTGTTATCAAAACATGCTAGTATATTAGTGGTATAACATCACTCACAGCTAATATTCCTTCAAATTTTGAGCGATGAAGGGTAACAATATTTCACACAAAAGTCAAGTATTTATAGATTGTTCTCTATATATCTACAGTACACACACACACACACATACACAAAATTAGTGGAAACTATCATTACAAGTTAACCTAAGATGCCTTAATTTATTTATTTAATTGTGTGTGTGTGTGTATATATATATATATATATAGTATAAATTAACTTTGTTTCATTTTGAACAACGGGTTATTTTTAAATATTTGTCTGATAACTAATATACGCTAATTAATTATGCTTATATATTTGCTTCTTGACACTGTATTAATAAACTAGAGCAAAAAAAATGTTATATACATTTGGAAAATGAGATGTGATTGATGTGTGACGCTCACAAACCTGTTTGAATGACACAAAGGCAAAAGTGCTACGACAGGCATCATCAGATGTCAATAACAGAGCTCGGCCCCTCAGGCAGTGAGCAGGTCTCTCAGAGCCGTACCTTGCCAAGCTGCTGATGAACGCTCAGATTGTACATCATCACAACCCCATCCAGAATCTCCAGCAGGGACTTCTCTGTGATTGGCTGGTCCGGCTCTTCTAACGGTCGCCCCAGCAACAGCCCATCGTTACCATGGCTTCCCTCGACTGGAGATGGCAGAGGGGAGAAGGGGAAAAAGAAAAGAGGTTAAAAACACGTCATATTCCCCTGGAGTTCAGTGATAGATTTATTATTTTTCTTTTTTGAGATGCTCATCACTAAGCTAATTGGTTTCCACCTCATTTTCTGTGAAGCTGTGGCTTGATATTGTCGTGCACTGCACAAATGCTTTTTTTGAATCAGTATTTAAGTCATGTTGTCCAGTAAAAAATATCTAAACATCTTTCAAACAACATATGTTTGCTTACGATATTAAGAAATATTACTGGAGGAATGTGTTTATATTCTCTGAATATATCTGGAATTACATAAATTTTTCTTACCTCATTGGCAAATAGTTTTTTTAAGCATAAACCTCATGAAAATATATTAGATTTATGATTAAAACAAGAAAAAACACTGCCAATGGGGGAGAAAGTACTGAGATCGATAAACGCTTCCACAGTAAAAAGCGAGCACATGCACATGGTTGCCAGATTGCAAAAATTAGCAAAACACTGAGCAGAAAATTTATTCTTTTAACAGAGAAGCTCTGATTTGCGGGTTTGAACTCTTGATATCTAGCAACCACACACATGAACGCTCACGTAGTAGAGGCGTGTACAGTAGTCCACAATAATATTTTTTCTCATTTTTTTATGAAAATAAAATGATTTTTATATTTATTATTTTTTTTATTTATACATTTTAGTCTCGTCTTTTATCGTCAACGATATATGTTGATATAGTCACAGTTATCGTTTATGGACCTTATATTCGTCTCGTCATTGACACGTTTTTAGTCATGGAAAAAAGCTTGTCACCGAACATTTTTCGTCATAGTTTCGTCAAAGCAACAGAACGCGATTATTTCTTTTCTATACCCACTGTATAGTCTCTGAAAAGTCTTAAGAACTAAATTTTGCTTCAAGTAAAATAATTCAAATTTGTTTTCAGAAAACAATTTATAAAATACTTAGATATTACAAGTATTGGGCATCTGCAAAAAAAAAAAGCGACTTAATAAATGATCAGGCATTTAAATTCTTTGAAAACAAATCTTAGTGTATGTACACGAGAAGTAAAACATTATTTTAAATACTGTTTTCATAGAACATATTTTCAAGTTATTTTTGTTCCAACTGATTGGCATTTTCCCCATTGATTAACAAAATATGTCCATTTTGTTAGATTTATGCTTAAAACAAGAAAAATAATAAATAAATAAATAAATAGCCACTTGGTTAAGGAAAAAAGTCAATATCAATTTTCTCAATTTTGCTTCAAAGAGCATTATTTCCATTTGTTTTCAGAGAAAATGGATATTTAGATATTTTATATATTTTCAGGTGTTGGGAATCTGCTAAATTATAAATTTAGAAAATGATAAATATTATAAATTATTAAAATAAATATTTTTTATGTATTATTATTATTGCCGTTGTTGTTGATGTATAAAAATAAGTTAGTTAATAAATAAAATAAGTTAATTGCTGGACTCACTGTCTTCCTCGGTCCTCTGCTCCACGGCGAGGGTCCGGACTTTGACCTTCTCCGGCGGGGCGAGGGGTCGTCGAGGGGTCATTAGGCTGACGGCGGCGGTGCTCAGGAAGCGGTTGGCTCTGCCCAGTGTCGGGGAACTCAACCAGCTGGGACGGGCCAAAGCGCCACCCATGGCCACAGCGCCAGACGGTCTCTGCAGCGCCCAAACACACAACATCATTCATCTTCAGCATGTAGACTCACAGCTGCATGACTTTCAGCATAACGTCCTCAGCACGAGAACTAGACCAGCTCCACAAAACAAAGTGCTCTACACCAGACGTCCCTAATGAGACTGAGCTAAAGCCAAAATTAAGGTCACTTATAATGGAAGCAAACGGGGCCAGTTTTTGTAGAATTTAAAAGAAATGTGAAGCTTGTAATTTCATAAAATCACTCAAGAAGAGGGTTACTTCAGGGTTTTAGGCATTATGTTGTCAGGGCAACAAAGTAAAACTGTAAAAAAAAAAATTTACACAAAAAAAAGGTTAATTAGCCATTTTTTCCCACATTAAAATCATATTGAGAATCAACAAAAAAAACAAATAATAAGCCATTTAAATATTACAGTATTATAAAAAATGCAACATGAAAATTTTATATTAATAAAATAATAAAATGCATTTAATAAAATAAGATACATAAAAAAACATTTTAAAAATCATTAAGTATTATCACTAATTAAACTATTAATTAAAAATCACTATTATTATTTCTATCTAAAAAAAATAGCAAATGACATGCATGTATATATATATATATATATATGTGTGTATATATATTAGTTTATATATATAGTGCATATATTGTCTATTATTATTTTCATTATAACTCAATATATGTTAATATTAATACTTATTAATTATTATTTAATTATTTACTTAATTTACATTTATATAGAATTTATTGAATGCTCACTATTTTGAACACATTTTACAAAAATAAAAATGTACTCTATTTGATAACATATTACATACATATACATGTATAGTACTATAAAAAATTTACATTCAAAGTAATATTTACCATTAGTAATATTTTAAAATTATATAGAATATATATATATATATATAAGAATCAGAATTAAGAAATGTAATTATTATTATTATTATTATAACATTATGATCTATTTTATTATATAAAATTATAAAAGCATAATAAACACACACACACACACACATATATATATATATATACATATATATATGCGCACACACACACACACACACACACACACAGTATATCAACTTGTATTAAACCCAGAATAATCTTTTTAAAGGGGTCATATGTTGCTAAAAAGAACATTATTTTGTGTATTTAGTGTAATGAAATGTGTTTATGCAGTTTAAGGTTAAAAAAACACATTATTTTCCACATACTGTACATTATTGTTTCTCCTCTATGCCCCATTATTTACAACAAGCCCTAATCTACACTGCCCAAAAAACTTTTAAATAAAAAAAAATATATAAAATATAAAAACTCTTTAAATATAAAAAAAAAGTATTTACAGTCAGAACAGCCGACATTGTAGTCTACTCTCCCAGGATCAGGAAACAGTCCTCCATAAAATGTGCTGCACACATCTGAATATTTGAGTTGAAGTGTTCTGGAACAGTGTTGTAAATACAACTTAACCACTGATTTCTAGTCGTGTCCATTTTTGGAAGGCCAAACAAAGTAGTTTTGCATGCTTTTTAACATGCTTTTATAGTCGCCTTTCCCACAATTACATATAAAAATGACTTTAGATATTCACGTAAGTTGTGAAACTGATTCTTGGCAGTCATTAATGTACCTGGGCAGCTCCAGTTTCCTCATCTTCATCCAAATCATCCATGGATGAGGCCTGGATCTCCGCCGGGTCTATGATGATGTTGGCTTTTGCAGCCAGGTCATCTAAAACATAATAAAACAGTCAAATTATCAAGTTCAATATGCAAAACAACAACATAGTAAGTCATTTAGCCACTAGAAAGTGTAGAAGCTGGATTTGTTTTATAAAATAAACCAAAAAGAGGATTTCAGGAGTGGATCATGTGGCTCAGATTTCAACACTCGATAAGTCATCTCAGAGGACGACAAGCTCACAAGCTTTTATGAACACTTCCGTCTATTATTTATTAATGCACATTTGTCTTCTTCTGGACAGCAGAGCAATAAAAAAAATCTTGGCTTGAACTCATCAGAGGGCTTATAACAACTGCTTTAGGAGAGATATGGGCTCCACTTCACTCCAAAGGTCTACATTTTCAAGGCTACCCAAGGCCGGCTGTCCAATAGAAGCGTAAATGTGAGAAAAATGGGGCAGTAAAAGCAGTTTGGGAGTAATTCACAGGAAGAACAGAATGAGAGAGAAAAGAGTAAATCTCAGCCTTGAAGTTCAGCGAGTGAAGGAGTGAGGTGTTGTACAGTATATACACATTGATCTATTTTTATTGTAAGGTGCAAGCTAAGCACAGAAGTGACCCTTCGGCCAGCCCTACTAGTGAGTCTAAAGAGGATCTGTGTGCTTGGGTAGTTTAAACACATTATTAGGGGAAAAAATATAACACAAAACTGCACCAAAAGGGGTCACTTATAATAGTGACCCAATTTATCCAAGAGAGAATATAGGTGGGAATTTTTTTTTTTTTTTTTTTTTTTTTTTTTTTTTTATAAATTCAGTAATTACTTTCCAATAAAACATTAACTGAATGTTAATGTTTTATTGGAACAACAACATAGATTTAAGCACATTTTACAAAAAATAAATAAATAAATCACATTTATTTTTATAAATCAAAATTGTTATGTTACATAATATAAAATGTTATATTAAATATTTATACTAAAATAATTGTATTATTTATTATACATTTAATTTATTTAATAAATTATAATCTAAATTTATTTAAAATAATTTGAATAATTTATAAATTATAAATTATTGAATGTTCACCAAAAATAAATAAATAAATCATATTTCGATTATATAAAAAAGATAAAAAGTATTTAATTATGACACGTTTAAGAGTAATGATTTATAATAATTACATTTAAAATAATTAATCATTTGTCATTTATTTTATAATTTATTGAATGTTCACCACTGAGCAATTTTACAAAATAAATCAAATGTATTATTTAAATTGTATATATATATATATATATATATATATATATATATAGATAGATAGATAGATAGATAGATAAAATGTATAACGGTATATTACATGTCTATAAGTAATTTAATTGTTAATAATAAAATATGTTATTATTATTATTATTATTATTTCTACCCACATTTAAAATAATTTAGAAAAAATTACTTTTATTTTAATTTATTGGATGTTTACCACTTTGAGCACATTTTACTAAAAAAAGTAATTTATTTTATATTACACGGAATGAAATAAATTTAATTTAACTTTAATATAAATTATAATTGCATTTCAATTCATTTTATAAACTGTATTTTGTAGTATATCATCACTTAAAATTAAAAATCAATTTGATTAATTTTGTATTTAATATATAATTTATTTTTATGAGTTTTATATGTATATTAATGTCATTTTAATATAATTAATGACATTTGTGACCCTGGACCACAAAACCAGTCATAAGGGTCAATTTTTTTAAATTGAGATTTATAAGAATAAATAAGCTTTCCATTGATGTATGGTTTGTTATGATAGGACAATATTTGGTTGAGATACATCTACTGGAAAATCTGGAATCTGAGGGTGCAAAAAAAAAAAATTTCAAAATATTGAGAAAATTCCCTTTAAAGTTGTCCAAATGAAGTTGTTAGCAATACATATTACTAATCAAAAATTAAGTTTTAATATATTTACGGTAGGAAATTTAAGAAACATGATCTTTACTTAATATCCTAATGATTTTTGGCATAAAAGAAAAATCGATAATCTTGACCCATACAATGTATTGTTGGCTATTACTACAAATAAACCCCAGCGACTTAATACTGGTTTTGTGCTCCAGGGTCACATTTTAGTAATGCTATGTAATATAAATGATAATTACATTTAAAATAATACTTCATAATTTATTTTACATCTTCATACATACAGTTTCCTTAGCATAGGATAAACTGAGCTACAGCAAATAAGGTGAACATGATTATGCATTTATCGAAATCACTATACAATCTGATAAGTAAATCTAATAATTTATAGTACGACGTCTCAAATGGAATCATAATTTAAGACCAAACAGATGATGAAGTCTGACAGAGTGGATGACCCGAGAGATATGGTTTCATTAATTTGGTGTCAGACTGATATAGCGTCTTCATTACACCTGTATAACCTCTGGCCGTCTGTCAACTGACGCTGATAAATCTCACAAACATCAAAAGTGTCTATAAATCTGACAGATATTGCAGCGCCAAAACTGGGATGAAAAAGTACACTTGCCAGTCACAGACGATGTAAATTAGAGTCACTTGAGCAGTTAGTCACGATTCTCCGTAAGCAACCTGGCAAGTATGCCAAAATCAGTCGGTGAAGGAAACAAACTGGCTCAGGTTCAAGTACGGCTGCCACTTGCATGCTACGGGTAAAAATATCAGGATTTGCCACGTAATGACCTTGATGAAGCTATTAGAGGAAGTCAGTATGAAGAAAGAGCACGACGGTGTAACCTCAAATTGATGCTGGTTAGTGAAGGCTGGGGTTAAAAGTTCAAAGAGCTTTAGTGTAGTTCAATAGAAATCTGCTGGAGAAATGTTATATTGGCTGATGGGATTATTTATTATTAATATTATTATTATTATTATGATCACCATTATAAAACTGACAGAGATTACTTTTAAACTTGACCTAAATCAATACTGCGCAATCATTAAACAGCCAAGAGATGATATTAATGAAAGCAAATGTCGATGATAAAAGTAAAGGTGTTCTGGGTTTATGCTACTTTTGGTCCACTTACAAGTAACTATAATAGTCTTTCAGTGTTTACACGACACAGTTTCAACTAAAAACGGAAAACGTTTTATGCGTTTTGGCCGTTCATTTACACGACAACAGCATTTTGGGGGCCTGAAAACACAAACCTTCAAAAACGGGTTTCAAAGTACAAGTATTTGAAAACTATACCGTTATTGCCTCCGTGTAAACTACAAAAATACAAATTTGTGAAAATGGTGACGTCATGCGTATGTGTATTACATGTTCAGTCTATAGGTTTGTGCACAGGCACAGTGTTTCTTTACTAAATAACATCGCCATCTACTGGCCTGGCATGAATAATACAGTGTTTTTAGCCGTTTTCGTGGATCTGTGTGAACGGGGATTATTTTGACAACATTGTCGTCTCTATGCGAAACTTTTCAAAAATGCAAAGGAAAAACTTTCCCGGTTTTAGTACATCCCTGTCATGTAAACTAAGCCTGGGGTTTGACACCAGTTTCACGATTCAATACGATTTTGAATCACAAGCTTGTGATTTGATTAGATTCAATTCCGATTCGATATCAATTATTTTGGATATACATCAGGTACAGTATAGCAAATTTTCTCAAGGAAAAAAAAATCTCCCAACTAATGCTGTAAAATATACATACTGTAAGAGTCAGTTGGTCCTACATTACTATAATATTGAAGGTTAAAATTAACTGATTTGTATACAAACACTTAAATTACACTCAATTAAGTTTTCATAATAACAACTTTACAATTACATAATTATAATTCTACTCCAATTCGTTTTTGGAAATATAAACATCTGAATGGTGGCTATCATGAAAACTTGACGGATTTATTCAAACATAAATTAAATATTGAAGAACAGTCAAAATTATAATCAATATGTTATCTGGTGCATATATTTAGCAAAATGCTCCACTCTAGAGACTACTGAGTTCACGGTCACCGAATATGTTTTTTTCTGAGGTAAATGTGACGTTACGTGACACATTGTTTACAAGCTGCTATATAGACATCTTTCCGCGGTTGAAACACTGATTGAGCAAACATGAGACAGGATATGAATTTCGGAAATTTGCATTCTTTATTTTAACCTTCGGATGTTCATTCATGTTTATTTCGAGCTGTAACTGGTTAAAGCAGAGGAGACGATCAGTTCATGCTGCCGCTTCTGCGATCTGTCACGCCATATTAAACCGGACCGGATTCAAGAATCGATATCGTTTCGTAAAAATGAGAATCGATTAAAATCGTGAAATCAATATTTTTTAGCAAGCACTAGTGTAAACGTACCCTAAAGCCAAAAGTATACTTCAGTTTTTACATGTACACAAGGGTCAGCATACTGTGCGTGTGACACAAATGTTATCAACAGAATAGTATGCGTGTACTGTACTTGCACCACCCGTCATGTATACTTTAATAGCAGAACAAATGGAGTACACTTTGAAAGGCTATGTGTTCGACTGTAAGCATACGCTAGTGTACACGTACAAAAAACTAAGTATACTTTGGGTTTTCATGAGTTTCAAAGTCTATATACACACACACACAATACAATCTAGCTAAACGTAGGCTATATAAATAAACTACACCACAGTCGTTACCATAAAGTTTTCAATAACTCTTTCAGTTCTTATTTAAAATCTACAAATTGTAAAGTTTGAGTTCGAATAGTTTGTAAGAGCACCATTTTAAACACAATGAGGCTGTGAAAGCGACTAGTGAGTAGATGAGTTTATCTGTTCAGTGTGACGACGCTTAGTCCCAGACATCCTCTGTAGTCCCATTTAGACACTTGTTAGCGACCGCCTTTTTCAAGAATTTATTTCAAGAAAAGCTTAAATAAAAATCACTAGTGGGCTTTTACTGGTGTATTTTATATCGTAGAATAAAACATGAAAATATCTTAAGCTTGTGTTCACCACAGACATTATTTCATGTAATTTAACCAAAAGCCCATTC